TGGACTGTCTCACCAGAGTGGTGCATGCTCTAGTTATCTCCTGCTTGGACTACTGCAATGTGCTCTATGTGGGGCTACCTTTGAAGGTGACCTGGAAACTACAACTAATCCAGAATGCAGCAGCGAGACTGATGACTGGGAGTGGCCGCCGAGACCATATAACACTGGTCCTGAAAGACCTACATTGGCTCCCAGTACGTTTCCAAGCACAATTCAAAGTGTTGGTGCTGACCTTTCAAGCCCTAAAGGGCCTTGACCCAGTATACCTGAAGGAGTGTCTCCACCCCCATCGTTCAGCCCAGACACTGAGGTCCAGCTCCGAGGGCCTTCTGGAGGTTCCCTCACTGCAAGAAGTGAGGTTACAGGAAACCAGGCAAGGGGGCCTTCTCGGTAGTGGCACCCGCCCTGTGGAACGCCCTCCCATCAGATGTCAAGGAAATAAACAACTATCTGACTTTTAGAAGACACCTGAAGGCAACCCTGTTTAGGGAAGTTTTTAATGTTTGATTCAATTTTTAATATTCTGCTGGGAGCTGCCCATAGTGGCTGGGGAAACACAGCCAGATGGGTGGGAAATAAATAAATAAATAAATAAAATCTGTTTCCTAATCTACATATGCAATCTGCACAATTTTCCTTGTAATTATCAGGGTCTATGAATTTTGGTTGGCCTTGGTTTGCCATCAATGCTGCCTGTTTCCCAAGGGGAAAGGTGAGGCCTTGACTGTGACATGTCACTGACATTGGGGCCAGCCTAAGCCCCTTCAAAGCCTAGCACAACTGAGGCAGCAAGGCCCATCCTTCTCCAGAGATTTGGGTGGTTTCCTGTTGTGTTGAACCTCAGAAAGGTTCTGAAAATAAAATAGCAAGGCATCTCATAGTTTCCCAAGCCTTTTTGAAGTCCAGGCTAGATCAAGGAAAGGCCCCACCCTTCTGCTGGCTTTGGGAAAGGGCTGGGGCTCTTGCAAGACTACAAGATGTGAATTGGCAGGCATATTTGTGGCTCTATGATAAAAGTGCTTTTGCTGATAGTGCTAAGGAGTATTTGCATTTTTTGAACAGTCAGTACATTCTATCTTACACCAGGAAATATGGTATTTCCTTCAGATAAAACATTTGTTGTTGGAATGTACTGTAGATGCAAGACAAGTATGCATACCCTACTGGATATATCTTTATTAACAAGACTGGACAGACCTGTCTTAATTACTTGATGGTTTGCCATGCCAAGCCTGAAATATTTCAATCATTTCTATTTTTGGTTTTAATATTATTTTTGAGTACTGCATGTACCTTGCTGTGCAATTCATGTGATTTTTTTAGATAGTGCAAGCATGTCATTCCATTGCACTATTAAACTGTATAACTCAGGCCTTGTTCTTCTATAATGGCTCTGTGGAAGTTGCTTGAGTGCTTCTGAGTGGCAATGGATTAAGTAGCCGACTTATGATGTATAAGAGTCACAATATTATTTAAGTAACCGATCACAGAGTTTCCATGCAATCTAGGAAAGATTGGCACAGAATGTGGAGTGAGTTGATAGGTTGTTCAATGTGGTACAAGTTTTTCATGTGTTAGCTACCACCTGGACTACATGATCTGCATTTAGGGCAGGGTCAATATGTTGGGCAGAAATTTTTTTGTGTATGTGTATGTGTTTCCCAATCTAAAAATAGCATCCTGTTGTTGCTAAATTGTAATGTAATGGTTAAAGCAGGGGTAGGCAACCTAAGGTCCATGGGCCGGATGCGGCCCAATCGCCTTCTCAATCTGGCCCGCAGATGGTCCGGGAATCAGCATGTTTTTACATGAGTAGAATGTGTCCTTTTATTTAAAATGCATCTCTGGGCTATTTGTGGGGAATAGGATTTCGTTCATCCCCCCCCCCCGAACCCTGGCCCACCACATGGTCTGAGGGACGGTGGACCAGCCCACGGCTGAAAAAGGTTAAAGCATAGCTGGGGCACCTTCATAGTGACCACATGGAGATGCCATAAGTCATGTTCATTAAATAATTCACACTATTCCTTGTTAAACCTGTATCTTGTTTTCTTCCAAAAAGCTCAGCATGTTGTTTAATACATAACCCTAAGACTAAGAAATAACCCTTAAGCTCACATTCAGCACTATGGTCACTTTCAGCAAGCCAGGGAATCAACAGGTGGTGGAACAAGTTAGGATTGTGCCCCCACCCTGACTGCCTCACAATTTTGGTAAGACATAGATGTGTTGCATAGACATACACTAGCTCCCCAGCAGGTGGATCATTGATGTTTATAGGAAGAGAAAGGGGGAAGGTGGCAGGGATGCCAGCATGGTGTAAACTCACCAGCAGAGCCAACCTGGTTCTCTTAATGGTGTTTGCATTGCACCAACCACCCTACCGCTTTGCTTGTCTTCCTGCTAGCAAGCAACAGAAACCCGCCTTCCAGGAAGCTAAGGTTGCAGTTCTGCCCCATCCAGCAAGCTGCTTCTGTAGGAATTTTGTTGTTCAAAATCAGGAGTAAGGGTTGAGGGTGGTATCCAACTAAACAGTTCTGCTAGTGCAAGCGCTTTTGGTTGCACAATGAAACTTTCCCTCCCTCTTCCCTCCCTGTTCATCTCCACATCAATCTGCTCCAGAGGTTGGGGGAACCCTCAGAACCTATTTAGGAAGCATGAGGGGGCACCCGGGGAGAGGAGAGGAAGAGGGCAGCCAAAAATGTTTTCACAAGAAGAACTGTTTAACTGGGCACCGCCCTGGGTGAACACATAAAACCTGATGTGCAGAAATGCAGTGTGGAACTTGCATCAAAAACATTGCATCACAATGGCTGGAACAGATGACCCTCAGCAATCCTTCCAACTCTATGAGTATGTGATTCTATCACCATAGAGTCCAGGAGTGAGAAAGGTCAACACCCTACACTTGACTGTGGCTTTATCCAGTTTGCTAAACTTAGAGTTTCTCAAACTTGGGTCTCCAGCTGTTTTTGGATTACAACTCCCACCCGCCCTAGCTAGCAGGAACCGTGTCAGGGATAATGGGAATTGTAGTCCAAAAACAGCTGGAGATCCAAGTTTGGGAAACTTTGGTTTAGGGCTATAGTAACTTGTCAATTTGATTATGAAGGATTGTCATACCAGATTGGATTTGTACATCATGTAGCCCAGTACCCTGTACTACGAAAAGCTTCCCTACAGCCAACAGCTACTGAACATTAGCCTGACAAGAGTGTGCTGCTAGCAGAAGAACAAAATAAACACATCTAATATCAGTGATGAAACATGATACGTATCAGTACTTCATGATTCGAGCAGTAATTCTGTATATAACTAAACTAGGTAACTCATGTAAGTGACGCATGCTGCATGCTAGACTGGAGGAAGGCAAGAAAGCCCCTCAGATTTGTCTGAAAACTCTTGATTCCAAAAACAGTAATAATTCAGACCCTGAACATGAAGAAAACGCCATCCAAAGCCAGCACTAAACTCTTTATACTCAAATTCAGACTCTTCCATTCAGGATTAATTAGGAATAGTTATCTTCTTTGGCTCTGTGATGATGATAACAAATGCAGATTAGATTACTTCTCAACTATAGGATCAAACATAACCTGAAAGACCAAGGTCTTTGACTATACTCTTTAAGTATGACAGGAGAGTAGAAGTGTATAAAATGACAACTAACCTGCTGAACACATCCAATTTCTGTTCTAAATGGCATAAAGGTGTCATTTTGCTTCCTGACATTTGAGAATTCACTGCTGACTCCTTAATGTGTAGGACTTTTCACTCCAGTGGAAACATGAGCAGAAATACACCGAGTTCCTATGTAGATTACAAGTCATAGATTGAACTGGAATCTAAAAAGTAGTGCTTCACTGAGATATAGCTGCAATCCTGTACTCTCTGTTACACACACTGTCTCACAGAAGTCAATAAGGTACTAGGCACCAGACTATAACTGAGATTTTCCACCAATATATTGTTACAAGTAATGACAACAGGAAATCTATTTCCAAGTCTCTTTTTAATTCTGAGATGTGCAAGCTGAATTCATGCATCATGTAAAGTCATTTTCCCATACGGGATGCCTGGCTCAGAACAGAAAGATACTTGCTAGGCTTCATATTTCATAGAGAAATTGAAATGAAATGAATTTTGCAGTGGCACTTTACATCTGACATCATGCATGTGGTTAATTTTTTTTTTTACTAATAAAGCCATCCATATCCAGTCCAGATCTCTTTAAGAAAAATGCTACACTGGGCTTTTATTCTTTAGAAACCTGAACACTCCTATTCTTAAGGATACCTGTCAACCACGGGCTGATTAGGTCCTTGTTGCTCACTTCAGAAACCCAGCAAGCAGAAAACGACATCAGGACAACGGCACCCCCCTCTCACCAGCTATCCTCATGCAAGCAAAACGCACAACAGGAAAAACCAATTATATCTGAGGGTTTTGCCGAAGTAACATTGGAAATTGTCAACAATGGTTATTTCTGAAGGCTCCCTCTTCGCTGCACACAAGAGTTCAGCAGAGAATGCTCGCATTTCCTGTGGAAACTAGTTTTGCTGCTCTTGCCGGTGACATGCCACCGATGCTTTTCCTTTACATGATTTTTTAAAGGCAAAAAGCAAAATAAAACATGGCATTTTTACAACGGCCACAATGAAATGTTTGCCCCGCTCACCACCTTGCAGACATTTTTTTTTTAATCACCACCAGGGAAGAAAGGGGTGTGTATGAGAGAGTGTGTGTGAGAGAGAGATTTCAGCAAAGGCTGCAGGAACAGAGAAGCTCTTGCCCCCCACATCATGGTGCCTTGGAGATGTCAAGAGTTTATAAAACGGAGGTGGGAAGAAGTGAGCACTTCCACCTCTCTCTCTGTGTGTGTTTTCTCTCCCTCCATTGATCTCTCTCCCTCTCCCTCTCTCTCCCTTAGTTCTTGATGTCATCCGATCCACGCGCATTCAAAAGCATCTCGAGACCCTTAGCGAGTGGATGACGGCGCGATGCTTGCGATTACAGACACAGTCACACCTCTCTCCGGGGTGTGTGTGTGTGCCAACTTCAATAAAATGGGGGGGGGGTGTTCCAGGTAAACCCCGCCCCATACCGTCGATCACGTGACACTATTTGGATGGCAATGCCCATCAACTTTGGGTGGCCCTGGCCAATATTGTATTGGGGTGGGGGGTGGGGAGCCCAAAGGACCTTGGCCCCCTAGGAATCGGCTCTCTTATGCATCCCCCGTCCTCTCTCTCTCCTGCACACTTCTCCATCCCTCGCTTCCTTGACGCGCGTGGGGTGTCCCGCGACGGGGATCCTCGTGTGCGCAAGGAGCTCGGCGGGGAGCAGGCGGCGGAACAAGCGCCAGAGAGGCGGCCAACGCAAGAGACCTGCTGCTCTTGCAGCTTCTGGCTCGGACCTCGCCGGGTCCCGAGAGCCCGTGGCTCTTCTCCCCGCGAGGGAGCAGCTCTCTCCCTCGGACCCCCGAAGGCGGAGGGAGTCCCGAGCCAGCCGGGCTCGCCTTCTGCGCCTCCAGCGGCTTGGAGAGGGGCGGGACCCTGGGCGCAAACTTGTGGCTCCCCTCCTCTCCAACCCTCCAGCTCTTCTCCCCTCGGGCGCAGGAGGAACTACTGGCACTCACCCACCCCCGTCCGCGGCTCTCGGCTCTCCCTCCGCCGACGCCTCCGGGGACTCCGGCTCGCTCCCTCTCCTCTCCCGCCTCGCCGCTGTCTGGCTCCGGCAGCGCGCGGGCTTGGCGGGACGCGAGCGCCGGCTTCTCCAGGCTGCTTGCGTCACAATGAAGCGGAGGCCGTCCCCCGTCCCCCCTTACGCGCCGGGAATTCGGGGGGCTGTGATTGTGATGCGGGGGAGGGAGGGGGTTTCCACGTGACTTCAAAGGAAGGCCTTGAGCTGGGGGGGGGGGGACGAGGAAGAAGAAGGAGAAGAAGAAGGAGGAGGAGAGGAGAAGGCAAGGCGAGGTGGGGAAAGGTGGTCGGGATGGGAAGCTGCCGCCGCGCTCGCCGCTGCGTCTGGAGCTGCCCCGCTCGGCCGGCGCTGGATGCTGAAATAGCCCCTGGCAGCCCCCTCCCCCGGCCGCCCCTCGCCGGCCACGCGCTCCCAGGCTCTCCTGCTCATTCGTCTGGCGCTCGCTTTTCTCCCCCCCCCTCCCAGTCGCCTCCCCACCCCCCCTCCGCGACACACGTTAGCTTTCTCTCTCTCTCTTTCGCGCAGTTCTTCTGCTGTTCTTTGGCACGCATTCCTTTGCTCTCCTTCTCCCGATTCTCTGCTTCACGCCGCCCCCACGCCGTCATTTTCCTCTGGCAACACTTTCCATGTTTGCCCATCCGACACACTTTCTCTCGTCGCCGCCGCTCTTCCCCATCCTCCCTTGTTCTGTTCACACTCCTGCCTCTCCATCCCTCTTTTCCGCCACCCCCCGCCCCGCAATTTGGCTTTCTTCACCTTTGGGGTGACTTTTCTCCAACGCCCGTAGCCAGGATTTATGATATTTGGGGGGGCGGGGTTCAGGACAACCGCCTGTCATCATCCTCTGCCTGGCTCTGTCTAGCAGATTCGGAATGAAATGTCTCGACAACGGTTGTTTTAGACTCGTAGAGTCGGAAGGTAAGATCCACTCATGGTTTGTAGTCTGCTTTTTGCCCATTCCTGGTTCAAGGCTTAAAAGGCTATAGCAGGGTACCCCAAACTTGGTACTCCAGCTGTTGCTGGATTACAACTCCCATCATCCCTAGCTAGCAGGGCCAGTGGTCAGGGATGATGGGACTTGTAGTCCCAAGAAAACAGTTGGAGACCCAAGTTTGGGTAACCCTGGATATAGCAAAACTTAGAATCATAGAGTCGGAAAGGACCATCAGGATCACCTAGTTCAAGGTCCTGCAACGCAGGGATATGCAGTTGTCCCAGACTGGGATTGAACCTGCAGCCTTGGCATTATCAGCACATGCTCTAACAAATTGAGCTATAGTACATATGAACTAGGGACGCGGGTGGTGCTGTGGGTTAAACCACTGAGCCTAGGACTTGCCAATCAGAAGGTCGGCGGTTCAAATCCCCGCGACGGGGTGAGCTCCCGTTGCTCGGTCCCAGCTCCTGCCAACCTAGCAGTTCGAAAGCACGTCAAAGTGCAAGTAGATAAATAGGTACCGCTCTGGTGGGAAGGTAAACGGTGTTTCCGTGCACCGCTCTGGTTCGCCAGAAGCAGCTTGGTCATGCTGGCCACATGACCCGGAAGCTGTCTGTGGACGAACGTCGGCTCCCTCGGCCAATAAAGCGAGATGAGCATCGCAACCCCAGAGTCGGTCACGACTGGACCTAATGGTCAGGGGTCCCTTTACCTTTACCTTTACATATGAACTAGTAGCCCTAACTCAGGGTAGAAGCCATGCTGAATGAGGCCTATGGGAGCAGGAGCCCAACAACATACTTCCTATTGACCCCAAGGGTTCAGAAACCCCTGTCAAAACCTTGTATTTTTATTTATTTGCTTGCTTTTGTGTGTGGGGGGGGCAGCTGCCCCCCTGCCACCTGGCTACGCTCATGTCTATGGCAAATTGTCACTTGATTTTTCTCTTTAACACCCTTTCTGTTGGTCCGTCTGCTGCACACCCCTCCTTCCGTCACTAAGGAGCAGCTCCGCCAGATTAAAATCTCAAGGTAGATGACATCTTTGTTGTTCGCCTTCGTTCGTGTTGTTCTAAGGACCTGTTGGGATCTGAAATAAAGGAAGACCAATGAAGCTACAGCAGTGGAGGGGAGGGCGGGGAGGAAGAGGCAGCCCCTTAAAATGGGAGACATTCCCTTCAAACCTAATTAGCCAGTTTCAGCAGGATTGCCTGGGCTTTAATTAAGGACTTTGCCCTCTTCCGAGACTTGGCAGAAGTGTCCAAGGCTGGCCTCAGCCGGTAGGAACAGACTGTTTTGGCCAGTGTCCAAGTTACCCTTCTGGCTGAATGTGAAATGTTTGCACTGTTATGGTTCAGGATGCTTCCACATGTCGCTATCCTTCAAGAGCAGGTTCTCATCATTCACAGTGGCTCCGCTAAGACCGTGCACTAGCAGTGCTTGCTCCCATGCTGCACCCAGACTTTCCACCAAATTGCCATGTTGCTTGTGGCATTTCCCTCCGTGACCTGCAATGAAAATGCAGCTTCAGAATGTGCAGAAGCAAGCTTTATAATATAAGTGCCTGTCTTAGCACTGCCTTGTAGCTTCCTCTTCCTTGCTTAATAGTCCACAAAGAGGATGGAGGGTTCTTCTATTCGTTTCTGTACCTTCCCCTGGTTATTGTTCCACATTCTCCTAGAGAATTCTGGTCTTTGCTGAGAATACTGTAAAACACCAGCCTGCAGTCTGTTGATGCCCCACAACATAGTGTGGAAAACCTTAACACATAACATAAACCACACAGCCCTGCTTATGAGTGTTTCTAGTTGGAATAGCAATCTAATATATATATATAAAAGCAAATATTTCTCTTTTCATCTGAAACAGTATAGCTGATCTGCAGCAACAAGTTATGATTTGAAAGCTCATGTGGCTGGGGGTGGGGAAATGAAGTTTAAAAATTCATCCAAGTTGCTACCACACCTTGGAATTCAGATACTAATGTTGTCATGACCCCTGAATCTAGCAATGATCTGGACCAGGGCCGTGGGCTGGTCCACCATCCCTCAGCCCATGTGGTGGGCTGGACTATATTTTTTTGGGGAGAAATGAACAAATTCCTATGCCCCACAAATAACCCAGAGATGCATTTTAAATAAAAGCACACATTCTACTCATGTAAAAACATGCTGATTCCTGGACCGCCCGTGGGCTGGATTGAGAAGGCGATCGGGCCGCATCTGGCCTGTGGGCCTTAGGTTGCCTACCCCTGATCTGGACACAGTCAGAAGCTGCAGGGGCACCAAACATGGAGAACATTGGTCATGAGGCTGAGGAATTAGATGCCTGCCATTGCACACCACAGTCCGGTGGAGCAGGAAACATACTAGGACAGAAGCTGTGGAAGGAAGGAGTGCTTGTCTTCAGGCCAGGGGTTTGGCACGTTAAGGATCTGAAGTTCTTCACAAAGGGGTGGAGTTAGAAGAAGAAGTCTGGAGGTAGAGGTCACCTGAGACTGATTGGAGTTGGAGTCCAATAACATAACTCCTGTCTTCCACTGCCTCCTGCAGTTGAGAATGACCAAACTGCGGGAGGCAGTGGAAGACAGGAGTGCCTGGCGTGCTCTGGTCCATGGGGTCATGAAGAGTCGGACACGACTAAACAACAACAATATTTGGAGGGTTCCAGGTTCCCCATCCCTACTGTAGACAACAGACCACAGCTTCTACACCTTCCAAGATTTAAGTCATTAGGGTGGACAGTCAACAAAGAAAGATAGGGCAGGCAGAGAGATTGCAAGAGTCAAGAGGTTATAGCAGGGGTCAGCAACCTTTTTCAGCCGTGGGCCGGTCCACCGTCTCTCAGACCGTGTCTAAATCCGACATTTTGGGGAAAAAATGAACAAAGTCCTATGCCCCACAAATAACCCAGAGATGCATTTTAAATAAAAGCACACATTCCACTCATGTAAAAACACGCCAATTCCCGGACAGTTCATGGGCCAGATTGAGAAGACAATGGGCCACACCCGGCCCCCAGGTCTTAAGTTGCCTACCCCTGGGTTATAGAGAAAAGAAGTTGGAAAGGAACAAATTAGTAGGCTCCTCCCTGTGAACGTTTGCACCACCATAAGATGGTCTGTATTATTGCCACATTTTATTGTTACCATCAAATCTACTCTTTCATAAGCTATTGATAATATGATCCAATTAGTAATTAGTTATCATTATTCTGTTTTGTTGTTGTAGGATTTCCCTCTCCAGGCTGGTTGGAGCCGAATATATTTTCCATGTAAAGGAACTGACCCTTTGTAAATCTGACAGCCTTCCCTCATATCAAGGACAAAACTCCCATGGGGTTTTTAATGCAAATGAATTCTTGGCCTTTCCAAAACTGCACCTTCTCCATGTAACAGGAGGGGGAAAGCTGATTCCACCACCTCTTAATGTTTGAGAGCATAAAGGGTTAATTAAACTTTTGTGCAAAGTGATACATGTTTCCTTTGCCAGATCAGATCATAAATAAAAGGAGTTTATTTCCAGCTGCAATTAATGAGTAGATGAGGATGATACTGCTTTGTTTGTTTCCAAATAAATATTGACTCTTTTGTTTATTTAGTGCAGATTATCTAGTACATCACTAGTGACTGTTCTAATGAGGTCATTTAAGGTGAGCATGGACAGAATAAATATATGGAGAGAATGTCTATGTCCTCCCACCTTCTGCTCACCCCACTATAGTTAATGGCAAAATTTCCACTAACTCCAGTAGGTTCATTTTCAGCCATAAATTCCAGGATTGACAGAGCAGTTCTTCAGATCTAGTCAGTCTGTCATATGCACTGTCAAAGACAGCTTGTTCATTCAAGGTTCAATTGTTGGAAGGAAAGATAAAATCTCTTGGGGCCTGGGGAGGCCCAGCCCAGGGATATGTAAATTACCATGGGGGGAAACTAAGGCTAAATTGTTAATAAGGCCTGAGGAAGTTCGTGCAAACTTATTTCCCAGTTATTTATATGGGATGCTCAGATCTTGTAAGATTTGTGTGTGTAGCTAATGAAAACAGAGCCGCTTCTGGAGAACCAGAGCAGAGCATGGAAACACCGTTTACCTTCCCGCTGGAGTGGTACCTGTTTATCTACTTGCACTTTGATGTGCTTTCGAACTGTTAGGTTGGCAGGAGCAGGGACCGAGCAATGGGAGCTCACCCTGTTGTGGGGATTCGAACCGCTGACCTTCTGATCGGCAAGTCCTAGGCTCTGTGGTTTAACCCACAGCACCACCCGTGTCCCCCGCCGTTAGGTTTGTGCAATTCAAGTGGATTAAAGCACTTTGTTACCCTAGCAAATCCACTTAAACACACGTGCACACACACAGTGGGCTTTTGTGGTTTGGAAAGTGATGCAGAAATGCGTGGGAAAGTGTGGGATGAGCAAATGATTAACGGGAAGGTGTGTAAACATCCCTCAAGCAAATCAGAATCAATCCTGGATGAATGCTTGTTATATAACCTCCCCACAAGCAAATCAGAATGAATGCTCCGTGAAGACTCAACATAGTCTAACTGCCGTGTAAGCTTTGTGCAAACAAATCAGGATGGATGTTGAATTAAGAGGTGGTCCTGAGGAGCCCAGGGCCTCTGACAGCAGGAGAGACGATCAATGAGCACAGTCATCAGGGATACTGATATAACAGGTAGGTAGAGTTTCAGGGCTGCTGCTGCTGCTATAGGATGGTGGATAGGGTTGCCATATGCCCTCTTTTTCCAGGACATGCCCTCTTATTCGGGGGTAAAATGTCTGTCTGGGTGAATTTTTTGAATTTGCCAAAATGTCCGGGGTGTGTAGCTACTTTTTACGTTGCATATCTAGTACTAGACAACCAAGTGCAAAATATATACATACTGTGTGAGTTTTGCATTGCAAGGAAGGACCAGGTCCTTGTTTTTGTATATTTTGAAGGGACATTGTTGAATGCACCCACTCCCCACCCCACTCCAGGCGCCAGCAAATGTGTCCTCTTTTTTGCTCTTCAAAATATGGCGACCCTAACTGCAGAACATATGAGAGCATAGAAGAACTGACACTCGTTTTTTAGGTCTGGGGAAAATGTCCAAAAGTTATTTGTCAGTGCACTCGTGCCTGATTTACATATATACATACATGCCATACTGCCCCTGTCTGGCTATTCAGAAGGTGTTTGCTTTCTTTTTGTTTCCTTTGTTTAAAGAACACTAATCTCTTCTCTTTTTCTCAAAGCATAAGAGGGATGGAGAGGAATGGGGAATTGTTATGAGTTTGGTCTGTCCCAAGACATTATACTTGGGAACGTTGACAGAATGATGAATGAAAAATAAAGTCTTTATACTATTATTTATTTTTTAACACTAACCCTCCAGCCAAATTACGAAGGGTCTACCAGTGAGGACAACATAGTCAAATCCATGGCGTCTTTTTCAGCCGGAAATTGCCGGAACTCAGTTCTGCCACCTCTCAGGTGGGAGCCATTGCCATTTTAAGAGAACTAGGGAGGCACTCGCGGTGAGTTCCGGCACCTCTTTTTCTAGAAAAATTGCACTGGTCCAATCCTTTTAACTTAGTGGAATTCCAAATAGCTTTATAAAAGTACAGTGGTACCTCAGGTTAAGTACTTAATTCATTCCGGAGGTCCGTTCTTAACCTGAAACTGTTCTTAACCTGAGGCACCACTTTAGCTAATGGAGCCTCCTGCTGCTGCAGCGCTGCCGGAGCACGATTTCTGTTCTCATCCTGAAGCAAAGTTCTTAACCTGAAGCACTATTTCTGGGTTAGCGGAGTCTGTAACCTGAAGTGTATGTAACCTGAAGTGTATTTAACCTGAGGTACCACTGTAGATAGAAAGTAGGTATGCAAACCTCGCAGTTGCCCGTGTGTCAGAATATGTAATACATACGTGCAAATGGGTCAGAAACCAGCAGGGGCCATACAAGACTAAATTTGAACAAGTGCTCACCAGAACATAGCCTTGGAAAGGGTTTCCAGTGCCAAAACATAGGCCCTAGAACATATGAATTAATAAGAAAGAAGAGGATAACTTTGATGATGTGCCAAGAGCAGCACTTTGTAACCGCAACCAGGCCCACACACATGGGTAAGGGACTTTTAAGTCAAGCTTGAGCCAGGACACTTCTCATTTTAGAAACGAAGAACTGGGACAGTATGTATTTTCAGGTGGACAGTCAGCATATGCTTCTGGGAGGTCTTAAATTCCTTCTCTTGCGCAACGGGTGCTATGTTTTCTTCAGTTGCTTACGCCCAACGACAACAGCAGGCCATGCTGTCAAGCCTGCTCCTCTGATTTCAGATATGCGGGCGAAAACATATTAGCCAGTATTAAATGGACATGGCATAATCAATAACTATACTCACTGCTGTCTGCAGAAAAAATTATTATCTCACCAGCCATTTTCTGATTACAGCTGATCATATAGGGCAAGGGTGGGGAACTAGTAGCTTGAAAGCTGCATGTAGCCTTGTTTCATGTGGAGTGGGGAGCCCACAGGGAGAGTGTGATGGCCTGGGATTCGGACTTGGAGGCTGAACCTGAGGAATCCCAGCCTGCACAGGAGTCCTCGCCTCCAGAACCAGCTGACCTGGGGCTGGGGCTTGAGCCTGAAGGGTCCTCACCTGTGCTAGATCCTCAGGTGCAGGCACCAGCTGAGTCTGCTCTGGCTCCTGAGGGGGTGGAGGACCCATTGCCTGCAGGTGCTCCACTCTCAGCCCCGTCAGGGGAAGAGGAGGTTGCCTCTGGGTCCGGTAACCCTCCAGCCTCTCCTGAGCTGCAAATGCTCAGGGCAGAGAGGCGGGGGGGGGGACTAAGTTTCCGCAGGAGGAGTGCTCGCCTCCAGGCCAGGAGAGGCGAGTCACCAGAGGATCGGGGCCGCCCTATGCCTTGGGGCAGATAAAAGCCAGCCAGTCCCAGGTTGCGGGAGCAACATTGTTGGTAGCCTGTTCCTGCCTGCACCCTGTCCTGCTCTTCTGCCAGAGTTCCTGATCTCACCCGACTCCCTGCCTTGGACCCTGCTTCAGCTTTGATGGACAGCCCCTCGACCTCGGACTGGACTCGGACCTCACCGCATGGTTAACCCTCGGGACCAGCACAGAGAGAAGGGGAGGGGTAGGATGTAAAACAACAACAACAACAACAACATGGGGGGGGCAGGGGGAGACAAAGCAGGATGGGGGAAGGATGGGAGGAAAAGCCCCAGACGAGCAGACCTTTGGCAAGAGTGATCTACGATCCCTGGACAGGAAGGGTTTCAGAAGGAGGGAGAGCCGAAACAGGTTGGCAGAAAGAGGCATGCAATCCCCAGCAAATCCCACCCCGCCCCCAAATGAATGCAGGTCTTAACAGAAAGGCGAGGGAAAGCTCCCCACCCAGCAGTGCTATTTGCCTAGAGTGGCGCAACCTTACAGTTTAACCCCTTCATGCATGAATTAGATTCAAATATGCTAGGGTTATATATTTTTTAAAAAATAATATTTATTACTTTTCCAACAGTTTAAACATTACAAAAAAGAGTAAACAATGCAATACAATACAAAAACAATACATAACACTAACACATTAAACTAACGAAACAAAACAAAAACAATTTAACACACATCAAACAGTTTCAATATCTTATCTTTCATTCCCTTATTTCAGTGACCTCCTCACACCTCCCTTTTTGTATTCCACTTCTGTTAATTGTTTCAGCAATTCCTTTCCATCTTCCTCTGTTTTCTATCCTATAATTATCTTAACACATTTTAACCTTATATTTCCCTTTAATTCTCTATTAATCTATTTATACTTAATTCCTTATAACATTTCTACTAAAGCCATATAACTTCATTCCAACATTTTTCTAACATTCATTAATTTTACAGTATTTCTGTAAATAGTCTTTAAATTTTTTCCAGTCTTCTTCCACCGACTCTTCTCCCTGGTCTCGGATTCTGCCAGTCATTTCCGCCAATTCCATATAGTCCATCAACTTCATCTGCCATTCTTCCTGGGTGGGTAAATCTTGTGTCTTCCAATATTTCGCGATGAGTATTCTTGCTGCTGTAGTTGCATACATAAAAAAAGTTCTATCCTTCTTTGGCACCAATTGGCCGACCATGCCCAGGAGAAAGGCCTCTGGTTTCTTCAGGAAGGTATATTTAAATACCTTTTTCCTTTCGTTATAAATCATTTCCCAGAATGTCTTAATCCTTGGGCATGTCCACCAAAGGTGAAAGAATGTACCTTCAGTCTCATTACATTTCCAACATTTATTGTCGGGCAAATGGCAAATATGCTAGGGTTATATGACGCTGGAGGGAAGGAGCTTCTCTGGCCCCATCTTTCAGACCGGACACTGAGGTCCAGTTCTGAGGACCTTCTACGGTTCCTTCATTGTGTGATGTGAAGCTACAGGGAACCAGGCAGAGGGCCTTCTCAGTAATGGTGCCTGCCCTGTGGCATGCCCTCCCATCAGATGTCAAGCAGATGAACAACTACACGACTTTCTGAAGACATCCGAAGGCAGCCCTATATAGGGAAGTTTTTAATGCTTGATGATTTGTTGTGTTTTTATTGTGTTGGAAGCCACCAAGAGTGGCTGGGGCAACCCAGTCAGTTGAGCGGCATGCAAAAAACAAATTATTATTATTATTAGAGCGGCTAGGAGGAAAAGCAGTGAGCAGAGGGATGCAGGGAGGCAGTCAGTTGGACTGACAGAGGAGGAAGGGGTGGGGAGATGCAGCAGGGCAGAACCCAATGGCCATGGAGGAAGTCACTGGTGGAGTGTGTAAGATGACTAAAAGCTAACTTTTTGAGTTTCTAGTCAATGGTCTCTCCTGGCTTCAGATGAGCTGATACATCTCCTTGCCAAGGGTGCAATAGAGCCTAGGTATGCCTCTGATTCCACCATCTGAATTTCCCAGTATGTGATTGAATCCCTCCCCAAAACAACAGTCTGGAAGCCCCCTGAGATGGACTTTTGCTCTGATCCAGCACATCACATCGTATGTTCTTAAATTGCACCATTTTATAAAACATTAATTACCTAGTTGCATGCATTAGACTAAAAATACCTGAAAACACTAAGCAGAATTCGTACACATCTGTTTAAAATAAAGCCATGTTTCTTGGCTTTGTTAAAACCTTGGAAAGCTCACATCTTGCTGCTTCCTTCCAGAAGATACAGATGGAATTGGTGGCACCATTGTAATGCATGAAGCACATTTCCATTAAACTAATTTTAACTCGCTTTGTTGGAAAACCGCATTTTATTTTATAGCATTGAGGGTTACCAGAAGTTAGTAAATGTTACTGTGTCCAAATTTTCCCAGTATATATTGTATATTTGTCAAACGTAAGCCAGGTGATCGTTGTACTTAAATCCTGCTGTACTTGCTTTGTAATAATAATAATAAAATTCTCATAATGGAGTTAGCCTGGTAACTGATATTATGTCACACTGAAATCACATGACAATGGGGGGAAATAATTACTGTACAGTAAGTATTGTTTTGGCTGCACTGAATGAGCTTTTAAAAACATGTTTCACTGTCTCCTCATGTTTTATATTTTGATTTTACCCTCTTTTTAAAGCATGTTTTCTCCATCTATATGAGATTAGATTTTTTCCCTAGTGAAAGGCATGCCTTTTTCTATCCTTCCTTGGGTTTTCCTGTAATATATCCTTTGTGGGCTGGGTGTTGCTTTTACATTTCAAAATAGAAATAACATATTCTTTTATTTTTGTCTCAGATGAGCAGATGCAGCTGAAACTCAAATAATATGTGGCATGAGCTAAAGTTAATGACATGCATATGGAATATTTGACAATACCAGTAGCTGAAATATTTCCTATATAGATAGATCTCACGTAGCATGGCTAGAAATAATGCAAGATTTCACACAATGCTTCCTCAGCATTCCAAAACCTGATTCTCAACTGAATAACCTCAGCAGTTCAGAAGGTATTTTAGCCACCACCGTGATTATTCATTTCTTGGCTTTCTTACTGAGTGATGCAATAAAGCTTTCAAAGACAATGACACACCGTGCTGTTATATAAGTGAACTTGGCATTTAATTTATTTAATGTTGTCCTTTGAATATCATTACATTGCAGCCCTGACCCATTTTTGACCATAGTGGATTCCGTATTGTTGACATGAAGATGCAAGGCAAGAACAGTACCCTTTAAGTATCCAGTCCTTTTCATATGCCATCACACAACTCTTGTGGAAAGCTGCCTGGACTTTCAAAAACATAAGTCTCTATCACCAGTGGATAGGAGCTAGCTAAGGTTACAGTCAACATCCTTGGTTCTCCATAGCATCCCTTTTAAAAAGAATAGGAACAGGGCTTTTTTCAGCTGGAACTCGCCGGAACTCAGTTCTGGCACCTCTCAAGTAGCTGCCAATGCCATTAAGAAGCAAAGATCACCAATGTCGAAGCAATGATTCTTCAACATCAACTTTGATGGACCGTTCATGTTGTTTGGATGCCTGATTATCATCTTCCAAAGCAACTACTCTATTCAGAACTTAAAAATGGAAAGCGTAATGCTGGTGATCAACAAAAGAGGTTTAAAGACTCTCTCAAAGTAGTATTAAAAAAAGTAGTGTAAACACCAACAACTGGGAAACACTGGCCTGAGAGCGCTCCAATTGGAGAATAGTCTTTACCAAAGGTGTCATGGACTTTGAAGACGTTCGAACTCAGGACAAAAGAGAGAAACGTGCTAAGAGGAAGGCACACTTGGCAAACCTTCACCATGATCAACTCCCGCCTGGAAACCTATGTCCCCACTGTAGAAGGACGTGTGGATCCAGAATTGGCCTCCATAGTCACTAAATGGAACTGTATCGGAATAATAGCCTGCTCAAAATGGGACAGAAATCTTACACTAAAAGCATTTTGTGTAGGTAATCTGTAGTTTGTGTGCAGATTATCATCACATGCAATGGCTCTATGTATGTCAAACGGAGTGGTGTAAATGCATAATGACTGGAAGCAGCACTACAACACAGGCTCAATAGACAGTCTTGCAGTCTTTTAAAAATCACTATTAGGATTCCTCATCATGAGCCATTGGGGTGTTTTAAAATTTCAATGCTTCTGCTGTTTTTAAAGTTCGGAATAGAGTAGTTGCTTTCTAAGATGATAATCAGGCATCCAAACAACATGACCAGTCCAACGAAGTTGATGTTGAAGAATCTTTGCTTCAACCCTGGTGATCTTTGCTTCTTCCAGTACACTGGGCATTAGTTTGCCTGTCTTCCCAAGTGATGCGTCAGATGTTTCGGAGACACCATTGATGGAATCTTCCAAGGAGTTGGAGATGGCGTTTATAAGCGGTCCATGTTTCACAAGCATACAGTAAGGTTGGTGGTACAATGGCTTTGTAAACAAGCATTGTGGTTTCCCTGCGAATGCCCTGGTCCTCAAACACATGGCGCTTCAATCGGGAGAAAGCTGTACTCACAGAACTCAGGCGATTTTGAAGATTCCTTAAAAGCTATTCTTTGTGATCCTTTTTGTATGTACTGAGTATGCACTGTTGCTGAAGAATGCATGAATAGCCTTGTTCTCATGTATACCTCTGGAAATTCAGCATGCAGAGGGCAAAGCCAGTTTGCGCCTGTCCTCTTCACCTCCAACTTCCATGCACTTATCTAAAAGTAAGAACAGGGCCCACAAATGTATAAGATGTGCCTACATAGCTGCTGTATGCACAACTGGGAACTCTACACATGAGTCTATGTGGGCGCATGTAAGATCTGTTCTTCTGACCTTCAGATCAATGCAGGGACATGATGGCCATGTGGCTCTCCCTATCTGTGTGCTGAGCCTATGTAGATATGGAAGGTAAACAGAGTTACACTGACAGGATCAGACCTGGCCTACATAGTCCAGCATTCTTTGGAAGAGTCATTTCAACTGGCAGACATAGGTGAATTGCCAGAAACAAGCTAAGATCCACTGGTGGTTTGTGGTCTGCTTTCTGCCCATTCCTGGTTCAAGGCTTGAAAGGTTATAGCAGGGTTCCCCAAACTTGGTATTCCAGCTGTTGCTGGATTACAGCTCCCATCATCCCTTACTAGCAGGACCGGTGGGCAGGGATGATGGGGACTGTAGTCCAAAAAACAGCTGGAGACCCAAGTTTGGGAAACCCTGGTTATAGCAAAACTTAGAATCATAGACCCTGAGGATCACCTAGTCCAATGCCCTGGAATGCAGGAATATGCAGCTGTTCCATATGGGAATTGAACCTGCAACCTTGGCGTTATCAGCACCATGCTCTAACCAACAGAGCTATAATGCATGTGAACTAGTAGCTCTGAGGGGTGAAGACATGCTGGATGAAGCAAAGACAACACGTGGAGGACCACAGGTTGTGCTCACTTCTACCATAAATGGTTTGTCAACTGCAAGCTACACCATCCCTCTCTAACTGCAGATGAAATGAATTTGAACCAGCACAGCCTGCACAAAGCAAGGCTCGTGTTTTAAGGACCTACTCCAAGAAATGTTGAAGCCAAAACCTTGACAGTGAGTATGAAATGCACTGGAAGGTATCACTCCTATGGTTTCCCAGGGTTTGTTTCACTCTAGTTCCCTGAAGCTGGGCAACGGTTCTGTAGCTCTCTGGAAGCATATTTCAGAACCACATGAAAAATAAGTAACCATACACTCTAGTATTACGAACACGGAGCATGCTCAGGAAGGGAAACAGTGTGCTAAAATTCATTCTGAAGAGATTGTGCACTGCCCGGAGATGAGGTGGAGAAATACTGAGCCGGGTTTATTTTGGAAACATCTGACTAATGCCGCGCTCTTTGGAAAGAGTATTTGGACAATACACATTTCACACTTGTACATATATGGAGATTAAACAACTGTTTGGGGCATTTGAAACGCATTTGATTAAGGTTTCGGCTTTGTTTTTGTTTTTTCGCTTCTTTTAGAAAAAGTGAATGTTGGTCAGCTGTGTGTGATTAAACGGTTTTGAAAGGAATGCAGGTCAGTTGCAGAACAGCATGTCGCAAAGAGCCAGGCCTGCCTGTAGAATGCTGCCTGCATGAAAGCAAAACTTACTTTATAATTGTTTGAACTATAAATGCACACCATGTCTAAATGCTGCCAATTATGCAAATGCCTGCCAAGAGGTTTTTTTAAATTAAAAAAAATACTACATGTGCTAGTATCTCAATTGGAGCCAGCGCCTTTGGTTTTGAACCCGTGTTTGCACTTCTCAATGGGAATTATTGGAACTGGTATCTATAGGGGTAATAATTCATTGCTATGCACAATTGAATTTCCACATGAAGCATGAGAGAGGCCATCTTTGTGGACCATATTCTGCAGTTTTATGTCTTGTTTATAAAAAAAAATCCCGTGGCTTTACAAAACTCATGCTGCTTACAATCAGATGCAAACTTTTGCTGACATCTACAATTATAAACTGTACAATTATCACCTCCTCCCACCCCCAATTCACTGAGAATTTTGGGGAAAAATACACAGTGGGAATCCCATGGTGCTTATTCAACTTGCTTATTCAAAAAATTAAGTTATCTGGATTTATTGTGTGTTTCTCTGGTCATGCTAACCTCATTAAATATCACTGCTCCTTATCCAAACTTTTGATTACCCAAGTGCTTGGATGTCACCCAAGCCATTTGGATACATGTGATATTTGCCAAGATCAGCCTTGGAACACATGAAAATTCACTAATAGTGATGCTGAAATTTCAGCGAAGACTGAAGAAAGAAAATTAGAAGACTCTTGGTTGAAGTACAGTGTGCCATTTTATGAACGCATATCTGTAATGTTCAGAGTTCACCACGGTAGCAAGAACAGAGCATCCTTGTAAACTTGGGTGTTATATGGACTCCTGAAGCACAACAGTACAATAGCCTACTGAGCCAGCACTGAGAAAAATCAGTTTGAACCTTCCTATTAAGATACTAGATATTTGGTTAATCCCTAAGAATTAAATTCCCAATATGCATATACAAATTAATTCTTTAGATAATAAGGGGGAAGAGAAAACACAGATGGTATTAACTGTAAATTATAAGTGTTTTCTAGACGATGTCTACTGGAATCAAAGACAGAATAGATTCCACCCTAAGTTGCCCTTTTAAGCACAGCTTTATCATCGTAGGGAAATATGTGCAAATTTTGTGATAAAAGACGAATCAATTAGTTTTGCAACTGCTGAAGTGGACTCTAGTCCACGAACGTTTATGTCACAATGAATCAGCTTGAAAGTATACTATGTAGACTGTCCACTGATGGAAAGAATCCATATGCAGAACTGGGAATAGATGCTTTTTTTGCAATTATTCCTCCTCCCTGCAACCCTGGAACCCTCCCAAATTTGCTTTGGAGAGGCAGATTTTGAGGTGTTGCAGGAATATCGTTTTCTTTGTGTTAATTTTGTAGGTTCCTATTTATTCTTGGTTCCTATAAAAATAAGTGTTCAATGAATCTAAATGCTCAGTGAGATATACTGCATTGTTTCCACCATATTGTTGCTTTGCAGTGTCATTTTGGAAGACACTACAACTGCAATTTCTTAATTGGTAAGGGACACCCAGAAGGCCCATTTTGATTGATTTATTTATTTTTTTACTCTGTGGAAGAAGATCCATAAAGGGGGAGTGGACACCATTAACCCCATACATCATCCTTGGCCCATCAAGATTTTCTCTCACATTGCCTTGCATTCATGAAACGTGGCCAGTCTTCCACAAAGCACTAACTCTAGGGCAACCTTCTCCAACCTAGGTCTCCTCAGTCACAGCCAACATGGTCAGGAATGGAGGCATTATTTGGGAATTATAGGCGCAGAACTACCCAAACTGTATACAAATTTATTCATGTATGCGACTACACTGGCAAGAATGTTATTTGCCCAAAAATGGAAAGAAGAAGAAGTCCTGACGAAAGAAGAATGGATACAAAAACTTATGGACTATGCAGAAATGGTGAAACTTACTGGAAAAATAAGAAATCAAGATAACAAATTTGGAATGGAAATGGCTTGTGGTATAGTTACAAACAAACCATAAACAGATAAGAACATTGGCAGGATTATTGTAATAAGCTGCAGTTTTATAAGAGTATGTATTTAAAGTTGATGAAGAAATGAATAAGCTAATTTAATTTGGAATATGCAGGATATATAAAAAATAAATGGAAGGAACCGCAGAAGGGAGTCGAGTTTCGAAACGTTAAAATGACTGTAAAACTATTGAAATGTATATAACTGAAAATTATAAATAAAAATTATTTTTGGGGGGAGGGATGCAGGCAGTTATAGCCCAAACATCTGGCAGAAGCCAGGTTGTGGAAGACTGTTCTGGGGAGAGATGCAGCCTTAGCATAGACTATTGCTGCCATAGATGAATGTTTGTGAACAAAATATGTCTTATATGATATTCACAGGAAGGATTTGTGAATGGACGTGGACAGCAGCCTCATTTTCTTGCTCATAGATCTTTCCTGCAAACTCTATGCAGAATATGCATTCTGTCATAATTTGAGGGGGGGGCATATTGTTCCATGAGAGAAAATGTTGCACTGCATGGGCCAGCGGGTGTTCTAAATTAAACCAAAACTCTTCTCTGCTTGGTATTTTTTTGCAATGCAAGCAGAATTCGTTACCCAGTTTACATCACCTCATCAAAGCTTATTTAAATAAATGTTTTTCTCCCCCCTCCAGTTTCAGGATTGTAGCATTTGATTTGGAATAGCATGCAGATCTAGAAGGGAGTGTATATTTACAGACTCCTTGCCATTAGATTAAGAGAACAAAGGCAACAATTCTGTTTGAAAAAGACCATTACTATAAAACTACTACAAGCTGGAGCCTGAAGTCATTCTTTTTCCTTTACATTATAGCGAACAGTACCATGAAAGCGCTGAAAAATAAATCTACCATTCTAGAGTAATGAAACTGCTGCATCTGAAGAGAGCCAGGAGATTAAACTCCTGAGACTGCAATAAAAATGAATTATATTTTGTACCATGGTCTGTCTTGGCCACACAGGTTTCATTTTTGTGCAATTTCCAATTGATATGATAGTCACGGAATTTGAATGTGATCATCATTCAGGCGATCGCTAATCATTGACACCAAGAGGGGGAATTGTCCCAGTCAAACTGGCAAGGTGAACCTCAAGATTAGGGGAAATGAAATTAGAAACACTAGGATAATTAATGTGGACTCTGCTGTTATCTATCTGCAGTATACATTATGGATTTTCCACTTGCATTTATCAGGCGATAGGGCGTGTGATGTCTAGGATGCTTTTTGACTGTCGCTGGTTTTGGGTGGGATTCAATCACATGATGTCTAAGTCAGGTGGCACAGTTAAAGTTGATATGCAATAATAATAATAATAATAATAATAATAATAATAATGGTGTGGTGGTGATGATGATGATTATAATAATACCATGCCCATCTGGCTGGGTTTCCCCAGCCTCTTTGGGCAGCTTACAGCACTTAAAAAATTGTAAAACATTAGACATTCAAAATTTCGTGATACAGTGTTGCCTTCAGATGTCTTCTAAAAGTCAGATAGTTGTTTATTTACTTGACATCTGACGGGACGGCATTCTATACATCGGGCGCCACTACCAAGAAGGCCTTCTGCCTGGTTCCCTGCAACCTCACTTCTTGCAGTGAGGGAACCGCCAGAAGGCCCTCGGAGCTGGACCTCAGTGTCTGGGCTGAATGATGCGAGTGGAGACGCTCCTTCAGGTATACTGGGCCGTGGCCGTTTAGGGCTTTAAAGGTCAGCACCAACCCTTTGAATTGTGCTCGGAAATGTACTGGAAGCCAATTTAGGTCTTTCAGGACCAGTGTTATATCGTCTTGGCAGCCACCACCAGTCATCAGTCTAGCTGCCATATTCTGGATTAGTTGTAGTTTCCGAGTAACCTTCAAAGGTAGCCGCACATAGAGCGCATTGCAGTAGTCCAAGTGGGAGATAACTAGAGCATGCACCACTCTGGTGAGACAGTGCGCAGGCAGGTAGGGTCTCAGCCTGCGTAGCAGATGGAGCTGGTAGACAGCTGCCCTGGACACAGAATTAACCTGCGTCTCCATGGACAGCTGTGAGTCCAAAATGACTCCCAGATTGCACACCTGCTCCTTCAGGAGCACAGTTACCCCATTCAGGACCTGTTTCATCCTTAAAACTGAACTTTTTACAATAAGGAAAGTGTTGGAAAAATACACTGGGCAGCATGGGATATAGATCGCTCAACACAATGTTGTATATCATCCCTTCAAACAAATCAGAGTGGGTGTTC